TTTTTTTTTTTGTTTCTTACATCATTAAGGATATATTTGTCATTCTAACATTATTTTCCCTCCCCTTCCATCTTCTAACCAAACAAAGTTAATTATTTTCCTTCACCTCCCCTCCTACAAAATCTATCCAAACAAGATAAAATTATTTTCCCTCCCTTCCCCTCCCCTCCCCTCTCATCCTTTTAACCAAACATACCCTTAAAAAAAAAAAAAAGGATCAAACATTCACCTTCCCTTGTTCTTTACAAATCATTGTAAAGGCTCATCAAGAAAAAGGTCGACACCTTTAATGACGGACGGCTCAGCAAAATCTCTGCAGCTTACCAACGCTACTGGCACAGGTATACCTCTGCCCTCTGTTACTCGCCCAATGTTAATTTGTTACCGGGCTACCCTAAGATATAGTGAAGGTCTACATATGGTTCGAGCCACGAACATTTTAGTGGGTTTTAAGAATTTCAGCGGTTGAGTACTGATTAGAGATTCAGTCTCAGGTGTTCGATGAAATGTCACTGAGAAAATCGGTTGATAAAATAGAGATCTTTTGCTGTTTCTTGGAGAATTCGGTGGATATTCCCTTCATTCATTTTTAGGTTCTCTTTATCCTACACTTTGTTGTTGTTGATTTTGCCTTGGTTGATGTAGGATGGAGTGCAGCGCTCCCATACTATCAAGAATGCTTTTTTTGTTTACTTAACTCACTTCTCTGATTCATGAAGTAAAATCTGCATTAGGGGAGTCTGGGACTAAAGTTCATTACTTTATGAACTTAGGAATGGAAAAAGTTGATGCAGTGAAAAAAACGCGGGATAACCGAAAATGTTATTGTTTTAAGAGTGTTATCTTTGTCCTCTAAAATTGGACCCATTCTTGATAACCTAAGTATGAAACCCGAGATGGCTCACGGGAGTTCTGTTATCACTTTATACTTTTTTTCTGTCTTAGATTAGAATACTAGCTTCAGTACTTGTTTAGGGCAATCAAATTGGTATTGAATGGTGGGAATTTCTTAGGGTTTTTTTATAGTGAGATAGAGATGCTCAATTAGTCAATTGGGTTTACTGCTGATCGACTCATTATGTCTATACATGCGGCTCTGATCTGACGGGTTTCTGTAATGTGCATTGTGCAGGACACAAGAAAATGAAAGTCAAGATTTTACGTATCCTTCGTTCGTAAGTTTATAGATGTAGATGTAGTTGCACTTGCATTCATATATTGCAAGTTTGATCTCTAACTGACCTAAAGTTTAAGTTGTCTTTCTTCCAATTATCCAGCATTGTGTAGATGCTTTTATTATTCATCAGTGAATTGATCTGGTTGTTTAATTAATTAAGTTAGTCCTACGGCGTTTCATTTTGTTTTTCTCACCTAGACATTTTAGTTTAATAGATTTTTTTTTTAAAAAAAATTAATTTCAAGTATCTCCGTCATTCAAATAAATTCATTTATATTTTTATTCTCCCTTTACTGATATATGTGACTGATCTTAGTTGGTGTCTTTGGAAGAGTAAACTAAAAGTGTTCTAAAAGTTCCATGTTTTACCAGATAAATCGAGGCAATTAAAATTGGAGATTTGTGATTATCTTCTCCTATTGTACTGAATCAAGCTACTGAGTTTTTAAACAACAATAATATGTAGCAGCATCTAAGATTATTTTTGTTGTCTCACGGGTCAAAGCGAACAATATATTATTGTAGCAGTTGTATTATTACGAATCGCTTGTAAAACAGTTTTTCCTTGACCAAATTAATTGCTTAACTCGACGGGACCTGATGAACAGAGTATGCTCTTGTATCCTTCTATTATTGCTGATTCTTGATTCTATTATTGTTACTTTTTTCTTCAAGTGACTAATAATTTTCTTTTGGGATTCCATGTGGCATGCCGTCTCTTCATGGACATGGGATGCTCAAGACGAGACATGTGGAATTTGTCGGATGGCTTTTGATGGTTGTTGTCCTGACTGTAAACTCCCAGGAGATGATTGTCCCCTAAGTAAGAACTCGGCGTGTCTTTTTTCTTCTAGTTTTATAATGTACTTTGTAATTTTTGAATTTTCAATCTGGTGTTATATTTGAGTCGGGATTCCTGTGGCATTGTTAACTCCTTTTCCGTAATAATTCTTACGATGGAACTTTACGGCAAGCTGAGTCCCTGGGAAATAGTCTTTTGCCAGTTTCAGCTCTACTCACTAATACATTACAAATTCAGAAAGATAAACATACATAAATTTTATTGTCTTCTCGATAATGGGATGCTGTTATAGAGCCATTAGATGTCGCGATAGTAATTTTATTTACTTATTAATTTATTTTCTTAAGTGCTCGATTGATTATCTTGGCATTTCAGTCTGGGGAGCTTGCAACCACGCGTTCCATCTTCACTGCATCTTGAAGTGGGTGAATTCGCAGACTCCTCAAGCACACTGTCCCATGTGTCGTAGGGAGTGGCAATTCAAAGGCTAAAAAAACTTTCTGTTTCTTTTTTGCCCGCCAATTTTCTTGAAGGTAATCCGAACGACTACCTTTTTACGAGTTGAAATTTGAATGGCAGTCATTCTCGGGTTCAATGTTCTTTTGTTACTGTGTTCGGTAATCACGTGTGAGATTCAATCGATTGGTGAAGCGTTGTGCCGTATGATGTTTTTATTTAAGGATAATTATAAGCAATGTGACCTGTTGACAGTATTATATTATAGGAGATGTGGAAGTTGAAAATGAAATATAAATTTGGGTTGGGATTAGAGCAGCTAAACGAAACGAGCCACTCGTAAGCTCGGTTTGTTCGGTAAAACAACTGAGCTCATTAGTCTAAGGTTGAAAAAAGTGCAATCAAACCATAATTACAATACTCACAAGTTGGTAAACACAATGTCTCAAACCAAAACAAGCCGTAAATAACATTACAACACGCCGTTACAACGAAATGGAGTCTACACAAATTGTACAAATATAAATAAACAAGAAAAAGCCCGTAAACAACAACGCATCAAACATCAATCTCCATCACAATGAGTAAAACTTTATGGCTCCTTTGCATCTGTACCTGCCAAAAGTCAAAGATTAAGATTAGTTCTAAGCCTTTA